ATATTTATCTCGATATAACAAAAAAAAAAATTAACTCGCTAGTTATGCCAACAATATTAATAAAAATAATTTAGTCAAGTAAATAGAGTATCTTATGATACAGTTTTATATTCTCAGATAATGTAAATCGATATAAACAGAAAATAAATTAACATGTATAAATTTAAGGAAATACAATTAAAAAGCTGCTTCATTTATTATAAAACATATATATTTTTTTATGTCACTACTATTTTGTTGTAAACATTAATAAATTTTATTGGTTTTTAATCAATTAAACGATAAACGATTGAAATAAAAGAAAATGTTAATATTATTATACAAAGAGATAGTATAATAATTATAGCAATGAAACCTGGAACAAAAATCATTAATTAAAATTATAGTAAATAATATTGTGACAAAAACCATACATTTACGAATAGTTAATTGGTTTTGTTAAAAATATAGCCCTTCCCTTTTTTTGTATACACCGTGTGTCAAAAACAAATCAAAATTCAGTATACCAAATAGCACTCTGGGTAATTGAAAAACTATTGTTATTTATTTTATTAAAACAAAATGCGCCAGTGTTCAAGGTAATTGAATTGAAAATTCCCCATACACGTCAACGTTTTTCAATTAGAATTATCAACTACTTTTTTACATGTAATATATATATATATATATATATATATATATTTAGTTTACAAATTATACATATATTTCACTTTCAATGACTTTGACAACAAAAACGTATATTAGGTCGTTTCTTCTCCTATAAGGTAATAACTATTTATACATTCTGGTATTTTTTTATTCACACAATAGGAATAAAAAAATTAACCTAATTCTGGCACAGCATTTGTATGAAGACAGTCCATCTATATAATCCAAGAGTTATAAAGCGGTAATTCTAAAGCGATACTTACTTAAAAAAGAAAACATACCTTGTATTAATAAAATAATTAAAACCAAACCCAATACACTCATGACAGCGATTAATGGTATCATTAATAAAATTGTGATAAATATTATAATTGCTAAAGTAAATAAAGAAGTGGGAAACGGGTTGTTCATCAAAACCAGTATGATTTCGTAAAATGTTTCTTCAAAATTTCCAAAGACTGAATAGAAACCAGTGTTAACTAGTCCTGTGGGCAAAGTTATAAAAACTTTAGTCTATTTTTAAAAGTATTGCCATTTAGTAAGTAAACTTATATTCAAATAAAATGAATTGTTAATTGGATTACTAAACACAAAACTCTAGATCTGTTGGACCAAGCCAGCAATTATTTTTGTCAAATATTTGTTGAACTTTTTGGAAGGAAAAATTGTTGAGAAATATATAAAAACCCTATTTTTATCTCACACTCACAACAATAGGTCTAGCTATCAATGACAAAACACCGTCTTTCGGTTTAACTAGTTTTATTATACAAATGCAGTAGAATTGTAACATGAGAGATATTTGAAAAATAAATTTCAGTTCTTCAAAGACTCCCATTCCCGTAATCTTCGATCATCTCACAATCTCCTTCTCGTAACCCCATCACACCAGTCTGGTTTATGTCCAATTCTTTTACCGTCACTGCTTTTATTTGGAATAAAATTCCAGTAGACCTACGCAGAGAACCCAATAAGCATACACCACCACCCACAACACAAGCACCCAATATATATATGAACTACCTATGAAATATATTTAATTAATAATACATATAGATATATATATATATTATATATATATACATATATAATATATATATATATATATATATATATATATATATATATATATATATATATATATATATATATATATATATATATATATATATATATATATATATATATATATATATATATATATATATATGGGGTTCAAGAATCTTTAATAATAAAACTATGGGGGCAAGAATCAATAAAGTCTTTGAAGGCGGTTTGGACTGCCGCATCGGAGTTGATTTTTTTCCTTATAAGAAATTGTCCAAATTCCGGAAAAAATGGCAATCTGTTAGAGCAAGGTCCGAGGAATACGGTGATTGTCGCAGACATTCCAATTGTAACTCATCTAACTTAGTGGTTGTTTGTTGTGCAGTGTGTGGTCTTGCGTTGTCGTGAAGTAGTAGTGGCCTAGAGAGATTGACCAATCTCGGTTGTTTAGCAGATAGTTCTTCCTTTGTGGTTTGCAGTTACTGACAATAAATATCTGCCGTAATTGTTTGGCCAGATTTTAGAAAGTTGTAGTAAACGACACCGGCGCTAGTCCACCAAAGACGCACAAGTAACTTTTTCTGTGTCAATTTTCGTTTAGGGCAGGATTTGACTGAGTCTCCAGGGTTCAGCCATTGCGAAGAGCGCTTCTGATTATCGTACAGTATCCATTTTTCATCACAAGTAATGATTCGATTTAAAATCCCTTCATTATTGTGTCAGTTGAGCAAAATAACATAGCAGTCGACGCGTGTTTGCAAGTTCGATTCACTCAATTCATGAGGTACCCATCGTTCAAGTTTTTTACTTTCCCGATTTGGTTCAAGTAGATTAATGCAGTTTTATCACTTATCCCAAAGCCTGCAGCTACCTCTGAAGTGCTTTGTGATGGTACCGCTTCCATAATAGTCTTTAATTCTTTATTTTCCACTTTGGTCTCCGGTCGTCCACGGGGTTAATTTTGAAGGTCGAAATTTCCAGAACGAAAACGTTGAAACCAAAAACATACCATGCTTTCTTTTACGACACCAGCACCGTACACATTATTAATCTTTCAAGCTGTTTTTGCAGCACTAGTGCCACGGTAGAACTCGTACTCGTAAATATACCGATATTTCATGTTTTCCATTTTGCGGTAATAAGCGACGCCAAAAAAAATAATGATAAAAAAAAAACAAGTGAATGACTGTTTTCAAAACTCAAAAGTACCAGCTAAATGAATTTATAAACTTGGAATTCTTAACCAAAGAGGAGATATTTCAGAGCAAAGTGGTCAGTAGGACAAAATATTAAATTCATATGTAAGAACCTAATATATAAATAAAAGACAAAATTATTTTTATTTTTGATACGGTACAGAGACTTAATAATAATTATTATTGATATTACAATTGGTAATTTGTTCTTTTTGCCATAATTAAGGTTAAAAATTTAACCGCATAATTAATTTTGTTTTTGGTGCTTTTTTAAACTTAGTTGAAAATATATTAATTTGTTCTCGTCTGAGAAACAACGTTTTAACTTTCCAAACACTCAGTCTTTAACAAAATAAAAATACTTATGGTAAACCTTGACAAATTATTGAATTATAAAATAACACGATATTGAATATTGAGAGATAACAGAATCTGAACAGGAAGACGATAAGAGAGAGATTATTGCGTGTACCCAGCGCGGCAGTGGCCGTGCTTTATAGTCCACATGCCGCAGTAAGGAGAGGATTGGAAGTTATAGTCCATAACAGTTAATTCGTAATAGAAAAGCGCACAATTGTCTGGAAATGGGGAAGTGTATCAGGTCATCTAAAAGATATTCATAGAAGTAATTGTCGACAACCATGATAGAGAACATCACTTATTACCCTAAGCAAATTGTTTACATAATATTTGTGTAGTTTCCTTAAAACACACAGTATCCTATCGAATAATAACGAATTATCGTGATTCGAAATATCGAAGACTACTAAGTATAAAATAACTAAATAAGTATTTTAAAATGTTTATTTAGTAATTGATGGGTTTGTTAATATATCGGTATAATTAATTTATGGGTACTCACTCCAACAATATTTAAGAACCAATGGAAATGTATTTTTCAAGTTTATTTCCATTTTTTAATTTACAAGAATTACTAAGCAATTTTTCAGTACTGGTTACCTTTTTTCAAAATAACGTCTATATGTCTAATTTTTTTTAGTGAGTGTGGAAGTGGGGATAATAAATGGCCTCTGTAATATTTCACAAATAAGCTACTGTACTAATAACAACTATAATTTTAACAAAACTACGTGATTAACATAAGAAACTAAAAAAAATCACATTTTATTGTACAAAATTCTATATAACTATATATTGTCAAAATAACTGTACTGGACTTACACTTACATTTACATTTGATACTTTTATTGATATTTAAGTTTGAGTAAGATTGTTTAGATACTAAAATCTGTTTAAACTTAGGTTCAGACCTAAAATTCATAATATTAATAAAAATAATAAAGATTAATAATTTTATTTCTAAAATCTATACTGATTTTGAAAATATAATGAACAATCCTATTAATAAGCATTGTGTAGTCATTGTAATTGCACGGACAATGGTATCCAATATATATCGAAATCGAGTTGTAGATTAATTTCAATGCTATTATTAATTCTTAGGTTGCAGGTATGTATCGAGTTAGCATCTGTCATATGACAGATTAAAAGCAACATTCGGTCATCGTGCATAATGCTCAACCATCTAACTCATCATTTAAATATCTATTAATATTACGAGATGTGAAGATTTTTTCTTATGGGGTTATCAAAACTACTTTTTTTTAACCTTATAAAATGTTACTTTATAATAATGTTATTTAAAAGTGAGAAAGTAATTTTGTGTTTTTTATGTTAGCTACTTTTTTTATTTTATACACAGTTACTTTAAAACGAACTAGAATAAGTTCGTTTATATATATTTAATGTCCAATGTAAGATTAATAATTAAGAGTAACTAATCACGAATTTAAATTAATAAAAGTGACGATCCTGGTTAATTTTTATACTGTCCGTTTTTCATTTCTAATCAGCCTTACCTCGGGGTATATAGAAAATGAACACATTTTGAAAGATTTCAATAAAACCGGGATATTTAGTGAATTATTAAACCAAATTTTAAAAATGATCAGATTATATGCCGGATTATCAAATGTTTCTGTACAGATAGAGTAATAGGACAAAAATTTTGAACAAAATTACGAACTGTTCCTATCCACCCCATTTTTGCTATATTAAATTTGTGCTATCTGTAATAATTTTTTTTTTTTATTAAAAATCCGCGCGTTTTTTATTCTTTTTGACATGTATTTGTTTTCTCAATGTTTTTTTTATTTTTGCTTTATTACATATATAAATTAACATTTCTTGCTTCCAGTGTTGTTTAGTAACTACAAGTTATTTAGTTTGATTATAATAATTACATAAAGTAATATTGTTTTGTCATCGTGCTTTCTCAAATTCCCATTACAATTACTTTCTCAGTGATCATCCATTGAAATATTTTCATCCCTAGTTAAATAAAAAATGGTAAACATATTGTATAATATTAAATATGTTATAATAATATTATATAATGATATAATTATTAAATTGTAATCTGGTACAGCAGAGATCAAGCCAATTTTATTTCTAAAGCTATATATAGATATCTTGTTGTCTCACTGATGGGTCTGTACTTAAATAGAGTCTTCACCATTATGAAGATCCTATTTATCATTATAAAACTCTTATTTCTTGTTTTGCTAACATCTGTTTAACTTCTTAGTCGACTCTCCCTATATTTATTTACACCTTTAGTATAACGTCTTTTCAGAAAATATAACAATCGAACCTTAATTACAGGTAAAGCAGCAGTATGATGCTAATTTGTTACCAGATATGTTACCCATTTACTATACTAGACATTTTCCACAAAAAATATTCTGTAGATGGCTCGCTTATGGATGTAGCCCTCAACCACTTTCAAATAGAGAAATGTCATTCACATTAGCAGATGATGTTTATTTGCGATATTTATCAATAAGTAATCAAAAGGAATTGCAAGAGTTGTTGCAGAAAAAATGTCCTTATAAACTGGATATTGGAGCTGTGTATAATACTAAGTAGGTACATTTTATTGTTATAATTTTATAGTTCTGCCCCTAAGGCTATCCAATGACCTTTATATTTGTATATTATTTTAAAAAATATTGGTTATTAAAAATTAAGGGCAAAATAGAATATAACCAACTTACTATTTATTTATTTTTAACAATATAATTTTACTAAAAGACATTTTAAATAAATTTATTTTTATGTTAAGTATTTATTAATAATTATTATTCTGTTTGTATTATATACATTAAAATAATTTAAATGATGGTAACTTCTATATTTGAATTGTGCATTAACAATTAATAAAATTTCTGATATATTTGTTAGTAATTATATGACTTGTAGGCCATCAGTGGGACGTCACAATGCCGTTGTACTTGCTAGAGAACTGGTGTTTGATATAGATTTAACAGACTATGATGAAATTCGAACTTGTTGCCAAGAGGCCAAAGTCTGTGAAAAGTGCTGGCTTTTTATGGTCATTGCCTGTGAAATTATTGATAAAACTTTAAGAGGTATTTATTTACGTGTTTGTCATTTTTTGTAGTAGTTGATTATTTTTAAACTATCAATTAATTACACTATATACTAGCTCTGCTGTTTTTCCAGTACTGTAATATAAAAAAAATATGTATAACAATATATAATATATATATAATTTGTGTTTGTCAATGTATCAACATGGGTGATGCAATGTGGTCATGAATGAGATTAGGCCACCCCTTCCTTTCCTGTAGGTGTCATAAGAGGTAACAAAGTGGTGGTAAAGGAACTTAAAAGTTAAAGGCAGCAGCATTCCTCTTAAAACTAAAATAAAATTACCAAAAGCCTAACTGCGGTTGCCATCTTGCCTGCCAGGGGTAGCAACTACTAGGAGGCTTTTGCCCCCCTTATAGAGGAGGCCTATGTTCAACAGTGGACAGTTAATAACTAGTGTAATGATATGATGAATGTGGCACTAGAGTAAAAATACAAATTACTTTCACACTGTTGTATTTTAAACTTGAATAATTTGAATCTTGAATTTAGATAATCCAACTTTCTTATAATAATTTGAAAATGGAATGAATAATTTGAAGTTAGAATATTTATTGTGTATTAATATTTTTTCACAGAGGATTTTGGTTTTCAATGTATATTATGGGTGTTTTCTGGTAGGCGTGGTATACATTGTTGGGTCTCTGACTATGAGGCTAGAATACTGGACAGCCCTGGAAGAGGAGCTATTGCTAGCTATCTGTGTTTAATAGCAGGTGGAGAAAATCAAAGTAAAAAGGTACATTTGGGAAATGAAAATTTACATACAAGTATTAGGTAAGACCTTGCTAATAACAAATTTTTTTGTTTTAAAAAAACTAGGCAAATATTTGTTCTGCTGAAGCTGCCTAATGTAATGAATGTTTCTGTTTTGATTTTTTAAGTATTAAGGGCGCCTTTTGATCTTTACTGTTTAGTGATTTGAAAGATATTATTAAATCAATATTAATTATAATCAATCTGAATATAAATAGCTAATGCTTACCTGAAACTAATTTCCTGATTGTCCAGAGGATATCTTGTAGTACCTAGTGGACCAAGCTGATTAGTTAATTTTGTAAATTGTTTTGACTAAGAATCAAACTTATATTTGTCAAGTAGATTACACACCTCTGCTACTATTGCAATAAATTGAATACAGTTTTATTCCAAATCTTGATATTTCTTTTAGAAGTAATCTATTTAATTGGTTTTTGTGCTTCTAAAATCCATACATACAAAATGTGGTAAATCAAAATGTTAAAATCTAACATTATTGCATGCTATGATTATATAGACAGATAATCTTTTGCTGTATTGTTCGAAATTTATGAGGGAATAATTTTTATTGCCTGATTCTTTATTTTTATATTTATCGTAATTCCAGACGTTCTCTAAATATCATAGATAATTATTTTGAACAACTTCTACAAGAACAAGACTTTTTTGCAACTTCTGAAGGTTTAAATGCCTTTTTAAAACTAATACCCGATGAAACCTTAAGATCGCAAGTGGCAAAAAAATTAGAAAAATTACCACAATCTTCTCTGGAGAGGTGGACCTCGTTTGTGAGTACGTACGAGGCATATTGTAGAGAAGTTAGTATTTTATTATAATATTTATAATTGTTTTACTTTTAAGAAGCACTACTTATTAAGACGACAAAGGTTTTTAATTGCAAAATAAAACTTAATAAATACTGTAAGAAGAAACAAAGTTTTGTATTTCTATTAAAATTGTCCTGAATTGAAATAAGAAAAATAATTATTATAGGCTAAGATTTGAGTGAAATCCTATGATTATTCCATATCTAGATTTCTTTTATATACAGTGAAGGCAAACAGACATATGTCCCGTCTGATGGTAACGGTCACCATAAGCCATAGATACATGTAACACCAGGTTTAACATTTGACTGTTGTCGGCCCTTATAAAATTTATTACGCCCTGTCTATTATTTATATTTTATAACTTTTTTTTACTGAGGTAGTTTTCGCAACCTTCCTATAGAGGTTTTGTGACCCACACATTGTAAAACACTGCTCTAGTGGAAACTACCTCAAAGATCATTGTACAACCAAACTGTTACACCTTGGATTAAAATATTCTTGTCAAAATATTATTGATAAATACATTTACGTCATTTTATTAAAACTGAATGCATAATTTGATTGAATGCAACATCAAATTGCGAGACTAATTGCAAAAAATATTAGATTTGATTCAATATACTCTATTTTCTATGACAACAATAATGTATATAGAATATAAATTGTAATTTCTGCCTGTAATGTAAATCAACTATATTTTTTTTTATTCCAGAATGGAAATGCTATGCGCAAGTTGAAATATCTCACAGAAGAAATTAAAATACAATACTGCTATCCTAGACTTGATGTAAATGTGACTACAGGTTTTAATCACTTGTTAAAGTCTCCTTTCAGTATACATCCCAAAACGGGAAAAGTATCTATTGTATTTAAATCTAGTAACGTTAAAAACTTCAAATTGGATGAAGTTCCTACTATTAATACATTATTAGATGATATGTCTACAGATAGTTCTGTCCATCAAAATAATATGAAAGAGGCAGTTAAGACTTTCCAAGAAGTTGTGTTTTTATGCGAAAAAACGGAAGCTATGAGGAAAAGAAATAATGCTAGTAAGTATAAGTTGTATAAGTATTTGTAAAGTCATTTATACACAATACAAAATTCAATTCAATTTGATAAATATAATTCGATTTTATATATTTCACTTTATTATATAATCCACATACAACCATAAGTGTTGATGTCTTCACCTATATACTTTTTTTTAATGGGTGAAAATGGCAAGGTTGTCCCGCCTGCGTTATGGGTATGTGCCAATGAGAGATAATAGGTGAAGATGAAAAGGCAGGTCAGTTAACCTACTGTGATGAATTCAACGATAAACTAGTGACGATAGTTTCCAAGGGGAACCATGTGGAGGTCGACCTAATAGGGTATATTGACAGCAGTGGGGATTAACCTCCCCGTTACAATCCATCCCCCCCCCCCCCCCTTTAATATTAGGTAATTTTATTCCATAGACTTATAACGTACTATAGATTAATTCAATCAGATAACATTTCTTGTTGGTTAGATTGCTTTGTCCGCCGTTACGAACTATTTTGCAGTGCGATAGTAGCTGTAGTAATATTCACACTTCACAAACATTATCAGCAAGAGTCACAGGCGTTATTTAAGGGGGTGGAGTTCACGTTTACCTGAAGATAGGAGCGGAGCTTTTTAACTATTCGCAAAGACATGTCTGAGAATACATAATATTTTTTTTTTATTATTATATTTCATTATACTTTTTGAGGGGCATAATAGAAATTATCTTCAAAAGCTGTAATGCTTGAGGAGTACCATTAGCGTCACAGTGTATTCTTTGTCTGTGTGCTATTCATGTCTACAGGCGACGGTTACTATTGTCCAATGAATGGGCCATCAGTTTGTTCGCAAATATGTTAAAATAGTTTCTGTAGGTTTATTAGTTACCTATAATAAAAAGAGTTCAAGTTACATATCATGGATTATCTGTAATGTTTTTTATAAATGTGAATGCATCCTATTTTTCACTGTACATAAGTACATGAAGTACTTATGTACAGTAAAATAAGTAGTATGATTAAACACCAGTTTTTAAGTTGGGCTAATATTATGGTATAGATGTGAATGTTATGGATACTAATTATCATTCTTATTTTTTTACAGATACTTCGATCGAGTTTTGAAAAGTGTAAAATTAATTTTGATTATTTACGATCACACAAGTATGTATCTAGGCAGATAATGTAACATAATAAAGTATGTTTTTAAATGCGTTTTTTTACTTAATTCGCAAATGACATATTAATTCTAAAAGTTAGATTGGTAAGATGTAAATGCAAACTTAAACTGTATTAGTAGATTAGTGTACGAGAGACATATTATATGAAAATTCAATAGTCGCCTCACCTGCGTTATCGGTATATGCTGATGTAAGTGGGAATTAGATCAATTGTTCTATCACGACGAATTTACTAGGAATTACACGTGATGGTTTCCATGTAGGACCCCATGGTGGTCAACCTGACATGGTACATTGCTACTTATGCTTAGTATTGGGGTTTTTCATGGAGATTTATATATTCTTTATTGCACTTAAACAATACATATAGCGATTAGTTTAACAACTTGTTAGCAAGGGAAAGCTTATCTCTCATATCAAAGAGATCTCTTCCAGCCAACCCAGTGTAGTTAGAGAAAATAATTTGGGTAATCCAGTGCAGGAAAGGTACCGGTAAAAATAATGTAAATACAACAAACGCAAATTGTAAATAAATAAATTAATAAATACGTAAATAGATAAATATATATACATGTATAAGAGCATAGAATTATCATGTACTATTGGTTAGGTTTGATTTCAGTCTTCTCTTGAAGGAAGTAAGGGAAGGACTATTCCGTATGTCAGCAGGTAGCCTGTTCCACAGTTGCGCAGCACGAAATGTGCAGGAGTTTCCAAAAAAATGGGTCTTACAAGAAGGGAGTTCAAAAACTTGGATTGTCACAGGCAAGCACGTTTGGGACGTGTGGAAGGGGGCAGGATTCGAAACCGGGAGCGGAGATAAGATGGAGAGTTGGGATTATTAAGAATATTATAGAGAGTAGAGAGGATGTGCATATTATGTCGACGTCGGATTGGGAGCCATTTTAACTGAGCGCGAAAAGCGGAAACATGATCATACTTACGTAGACCGAAGACAAATCTGATAGCTAAATTTATATTCGACTCTAAGTTGTCAAGATAGTTTTGCAGAATATCATTTGCAAAAGTTACTTTATTATTATGCATTTAACAAATCAGCACAAAAATTTTATAAGGGGGAAATTATTATGGTCAAGATAACAGTTGTCATATTTTTGGGTTTATTTCTGTTCGTATGAGGTCATAATTTTCTATCTGAACGAAGAGGAACGAAAGTTTGTATAACTTGAATTTATCTTCAGCAATTTTAGTCTTATGAACAATTGTGGTTTTTGGGGATTTATTCATCAGATAGAGATTTTGTACAGAGTTGCCTACTTCGTTGTCTGTGCCATCTGCTTCGCAGCAGAAACACGTATTTTGAATTTCTTTTGAATCAGTGTCGAAGTTGGGATATGATAGCGAAACTATTGGTCACGAAGGTATAATATCTTAGCCGTTAAAAATTGAATTGGTAACGTATGAGAAGTTGCAGTTTAATCTGTGATGTTATGACGCTGGTCAGTTTATAGGCGACGGTGACCACTTTCTTTCAGGTAGGCTGTCAGCTTGTTGTCTATTCTGTAGATTTTTGTTTTATTTTGATATAATGTATGAGTAGCTGATAAAATAATACAACAAAAGTACAGAAAACGACTGTTTATTTTTTATAGAAAATATATCCATTTCTTAAGATAAGCACTTATTTATATAAAATGCAATAATTGTGATAGCAATACGGAAGCTGATCAGTTGGTCGCGTCCATTCCACCAACTGCTTTTTATTTATTATCCAGATTAAGTCGCCTGGTTTGGATCAGGAAATAAAGTTGATATGATTAAACAAATATTCCACAAATTTCAAGTAAAAATGGCACAGATACCTACAGATTTGGAGAGAATAGGATATTGAGAGCGATTTGGTAATAAGAACGACGATGGTTGGATGGGATAGTTGTCGATTTTTTGTTCCACGCTCATAAAAATTTAAGAATTGTTAGCCTCTATATAAGCATAAATACATAAGTTTATTGTATTATGTTTATACAAATTACATATCTATATTTGTCTTCTTTTTAGTGCCAGTAGTTAAATGGTCACGTGAAATTGAGTGAAATATTTGTTTTATTGTCAATATGGTGGTTGGCGATTAATAGGAGCCTACACAGCTCTCCTCAATTCTTAGAGGAAGAAACTCTATATGGAACTTGTTTAGATCCAGGCAAAAGTAGAGAGATGTAGTACCATTATAAAAATTATGGAAACTGGCCACATAATGTTCTAGCAGTGACAATGTAGCTTCTTACGTTTGCAATTTTTGTCTTTATCGCTATACTTAAAATATGTATTTCTTTGTGTTGTTTATTTTTTTTAATATAACTAATATAAATCATATTTAAAACTGATTAAAATCTATGATCATATGAAATTAATAACTATTTTTTTCATTTCACATGTAAGTATTAATTAGAATTTCATTTTCAGAAGATTCCCTTTTTTAGAAAATATTCTTATTTTGTCAAAATAAACATGTACTTGATTTAAACATTGATTTTCTGATACTTAAATAAACAAAGTTCATGTTCCTAATTAATAGATATAACTGGCATTTCTGGCATAAAAAGAGAAAATTATTAAATATAATTATCTAGCCTACAGCTTGCCTGTGACTTTCAAACTATTATTCAAAACTTCTATTTGAAGTATTTATTGATGGCAGTCGACATTTATCAAGGATGCAAGAGATAACTATTGTCTTGCTTTCAGCGCTTACCAGCAAAGATTTATTAGGTACTTTTAAAGTACTAATATGTTTAAAATTAACTTGCGTTTTACTGGTGGTTCAGGATCTTTATGGCGGTCTAGCAGTTTAGGTCTAAGTTTAACAGTGGAGTCTGTATGTATTACTGTGTAATAATTATAATAATGCTAATGACCTTCTTTGAATATATCATGCTCGGCGTTATGTGGAATTTAAAACCGGCGATGACAGCGGTACTCTAAGGTGACAGATGCAATGCGCACGTCTATTCTAAAGTTGTAACAACTTTAACATAAACCCATAACCTCATTAGGTTAGTATGAGAGATACGAACGAATGAATACCGAACTTTAATTTTATTAATAACAAATGTATTATACCTATGCAACGATATCCTTTAAAATTAATAAATAAGTAAAATAAAGATATATGAGGTAACTACAAATAAAATGTAAGACGATGAAACCTTAAGCAGGGTACTACTTGTAGTTCATGTCACTTCAAAATTGCCTGCTTTTGATATAGGAGACGCGAATAAGATACAATAGATATACGATACAATTAATCTGATCAGCAATTTCCTATATTGTAGATACTGTTTAGAATTGTTGATGGTATTTTGAAAGGGGCCGAAAAGAGTCGAAGTATGTAAATTTCCAAGCACATGGGAAAAAATTATACCTAAACTATTAAAAATTCATTTGATGTATATAACTACCGATAGTCTTTAACTTGCTTGGCGGTTTATAAAATAAGCGAAAAAGAGATTATACAGCCCTCAAATTAAAAACTATAACGCAATCAAATAGGTGGGCGAAAGATAGATATTAGGCTGTAGGAGTAATGAAGCATGACAAAGTAACGGTGAAGATCGCCTGACTGATACATTTTTATCTGTTTATGTATGAAAATTGTCTCTAATAAAATAAAACTATATAGAACAACTCAGTGCCACATTTAGAAAATCCTCAAATGCGATGGTTACCGTTCCATTTTGTTGAGTGTCACGGACTCTAAATGCTTCAGTGAAACGTTGTATTTGAACACACAGTACAATGAACTGATCAACAGACACCCTGCCGTCTTTTGGATCGCTTCTTTTTATTAAAAAATTGATGAACTCCGGAGTAAAACGGAAACCCATTTGTGACATTGCTGAAAAAATAGTAAACAATATAATAATACAAAATAAAGTCCTTGCAAAACTCACAAGAGACAATTTACAAATGTTCCGTTCTTTGATACTAAAAGTCTTTATACTATTTAAAAAAATAAGTTATGACGATAAATGGTATAAAATGGACTTGATGTATAATGTGAACTATTTGTGTAACTACATATTTTTGTATACCGTACAGGCTAAACATGTCGAACGATATTATATTGTCAACATCTGCATGCATTTATACGCATGTTTTACAAACAATTAAAACTTGAATTTATGATTTATGAGACAATATGAGTGAAGCCATGAACAAAACTGCACTGTATGGAAGGTTGCTCCATTACATTAGAGATTTTGAAACTACAGTATGGGGTTTTTCAAAAAGGGTATTTTAAGGTTTCTTCAGGGTCGTCAAATTTTCATTAGGGTAGTGTTCATAGGCTACAATGATTGTTTACTAACAGACGGGCTGTATGCTTGATTGCCATTATCGTGATATAAAAAAGGATAAGTCATTGGCTTATTTGCCATTCTCAGTAGTAGATAGGTATTTAGTCGACAATGTTTCTCATTATCCTATTTGAGATTAAAGCGATATATTTATTTGTACATTTTTTTCTCTGCTATTATTATATATGGAAAGTTTGTGATAAGTTAAATATTTTGTTATAAATATATATCATTATCTGTAGGTACCTTTTGATAGCTCTTGTTCTTCAATATGTCCAGACTGGTCAACGTCATAGGTTTTAAAAACTGTAAGCCATTGATTCACGTATGTATATAATTTGTCAAATTCTTCCACGTTGATAGTACCCGTACGATCTTTGTCAAACATACCTGAAAATTTAATATAGGTATATATATAAGTTTACTATTTTTTCTTAAGATTCTTTAACCATTTAAGAATTGATTGTAATAAAAGTGAAGGAACCAGCAAATTCTCCTTAAGTATGTAGGTATGTCCATGTTATTTTACTATTTAACTACGGTATAATGATGTAAGAGAAAGAACGTGATTTTTTAAAATAAATACTTTGAAAATACATTTCATTCATTAATTCCCTTACAATAATATAATGACCTATTTAATTAATTAGTAATGGGAGCTACAGATTCACACCACAAAATAAATATGGCGGTTATAAACTATTCGAACTTATTTTGTATAACGACGGAATATTGTGACTGTAACGCCCATTTGTTTGTATATCGACCATCCCTGAATTCCTGCTCCATTTGGATGTATAAATTTCGGCATGATATCTAGCCATATTGTAGAGATTACATCCATTGTATAAAATGTACTTACCAATCATTAAGTTACAAGCTGTATCTGAAAATGATTGGCCCTGTGCATTAACTAAGGCTCCTTTTAGCTCAGCAGCTGTAATGAACCCAGATTGATCTTTATCAACTGCTCGGAACCATTGCTGGACTTGCGGTGACACTCCGCCTCCTATTGGTATGTTGGGATATGGTCCATGACCCATTTCCAATTGACCAGTGGGTGGTTGTCCGCCATATTGAGGTTGACCATACCCAGGCTGGAATAAATAAATGCAAAATTAAATCGCTGGAACACATTTTAGTTTTTCTAAGTAGACATAAGTATTAAAAAGTAAAACAATATCTACTATATACATACAGTAACTACTTAAGTTTTTTTTTTTACAACACGGGGCAAACGAGCATGCGGCTCGCCTGATGATAAGTGACTACCGCCGCCCATGATCCCCCACAACACCTAAAACTTAATCGGTCGGTGTAGTTTAGAAAACGAGATAAAAAATATTATTAGAAAATCATTTCTAAAAAAGTGTAGTTTTGCTGCGTAGAAAGGCGTGTTCTAATTTAAAATACTGTGTGTTCTATTGTTGAACTTTAAATTTTCTTTCTTACTTTAACTTTAAATTTCAATAGGAGCGTCTAGTAACTACGTGCAAACATGTAGATGACACTTATTTGATGTTTCATTAAAAAGAACACAGTTAGCTAAGCAAGCTCCCCTATCTCTTGCATTTAAACTACTCAATGATATTTTGAGCCCGTATCCGCAATTACTGTTTGCCTGCAACTTGCCGAGTTTCGTCGGATGACCACAGTGTTTGTGTTCAGAGATTTAAAATCTAATGTTATTTCTATTTAAGTTAAATCTTATTAATATTATTATTTAATATATAATAATATTATTATATGATATTATTGTACTGATGCCTTCCTGGGTGAGCGTATGGAGACTGTAAAAATCACTCAGTTGATTAAGAAAATCCAATTCTATCGATACGTTTGCCACTTATCTAGTGGCAAGGATGTTAAAGTTTGGCTGTTACACAAATTGTAATACGCCCTGCGAAATTAATAGTACTAACGAAATGAAGCGTATTATTTATTTTCAGGCCAAATAACTAACAAGACCAACAGAAATTGAATTATGAATTTTTAATAAATAGAGTCATTTGAGGGAGCGACGGTGTTGATTTAGACGGTGCAAGTGTGATTAAATAATATAAAAAATATCTTTTTTGCATTTATAATAATATTATATTCACGGTAAATTACTTACTGGGTAGACAGAGAGAATCAATTGATGTTGCTCTTTATTCCTAATAACTACAATAGTTCATCATCTGATACAAGGGGTTCAGAAACGTGTTACTGAGAACAATAATTTGTGTGGGTTTAGCAGTTAAAATATAAAAGCTGGTAATAGAGAAACAGAAAAATAATTAATTTTTTATTCTTAATAATAACTTTATTCAATAAAGTTTAAATAGTTACGTATACTTATATACATTGTATAAACATTATAAAACCGCAAAATTTTAGTACCTTCACTTCATGCAAAATATGCTTATAGTAAGTATGTAATTAATACGAGACAAGACACATTGGATTACGCGTATTTATTTAGAGATCTGACGACAATTACCGTATTACCTAAGTGAAATATTCTATCCATGAAACTACATGAAATATACATAGCTGCCATATTAAAGGTAGGTATAGGCAAATAAATAAATTAGATAGGGTATTTCTTTGGATAAATAATAATGATGGAGTTTAGGTTCGTTAACACAAGTCTATAACAGCCTGTTAATGCATTCCTGTCATATTTGTAGCATGTAGCCGTACTCTACATTATAGGTATAACTAGTATCTAAGAATTCTATATTTTGGTGCATCTTAATAATGCTGATGCAATGTTGTATTAAGACTATAACAAATATATTAACAGTTTACAATTGTCAGGCTATTTAGAACATTGGTTACATTACTTAAGAACCTGTGTTCTATAATAAAGCTTCCTTACAAAATTATTTTAAATATTTGATGTTGATTTTATGACGTAACAAACAAGTGTATAAAACAAGATAATTTTAAAATGTCTTCAAATATTTTTTTTTCTTTATTTGTGCCCATCATTCTCTAATCTCACTCCATACATGTTCTCACAAAAATATACTACAAATAATATTCTTGTTCACAATAACACTTATTTATCTATATTTAATACAATCAGTGTCTAAAATGTAAGTGTACACACATAAAAGTATTAATAAAATATATTTATGTAAGTAATAATCAAAATAATCTAGTCCACTGCATTGGAATAAGTAGAATAATTTTTAATAATACTTGATAAAAATAAACAATTATATATTTTAGACTCAAGAAAGTAAATACACAAATATGTAGACCATAGTATATGTATAGGTAAGTATACATACAGTATTATTGTGAACAAGTTTAAGTAGCTAATACTTATCCTAGGCAGTACTGTTAATCACTACATTAATACACATACATAGTAATTTTGAGTCTATAAATTATTGTTCAGTTTTACATTTTGTTCCTTAGGGATTAAGTATAAGCAAATTGTTTAATTATTTAAACTGTTTATAGTGTTCCATCTGTAAATAATATTTAGTAATAAATTAAGTATTAATGTTATATATTATAACAAAACAGTTTTATTAAAATAAAAATCTCAAGACTTCTTATACTTGCATGGATATTGAACAAAGAATAAAAAAAAGTGTTTCCATATATAACATCCCTTATAATTATGTTTATTATCTATAAGAAAATAACAATGTTCATACACTTAAATGACATTCAGTCTTTTGCATCAAAACCAATACTGGCAAGTTTGTTCTATTTTGTACTAAGCAAACAAGTATATTTAATAGATGCCTAATGACAATGCTTTTTCACTAACTACACACATGAATTATCAGGTTGTTAAATCATAAATAAGCAAATAAATATACTTAAATACAATAGAGTATAGAAACATAACTGAGAATAATTTTTAAACCATCTATTCACAAAGTCTCTATCATCCAGGTACTGGTAAGTAAACAAAATGTAAATAGTGAAAATGCAATGTAAAAATATTTTTTTGCTATTATCATCAGAAATATTTCTTTAATTAAGCCTAAATATTACCACTGTGACTAGAAAAACTATAAGTAGCTGGTGTTACAGATGTATTTACACAGACTTGAATAGATGGTTTAAAAGATGAAGGAAGAAGTTTGTGTGCTTCTGGCACTGGAGAATAACTTCGGCAAACAACAGTCTCAAAATGCACTTGATCACTTCTATCTGTAGGCACACCATCAAAGCTCGTTTGTTTAGCTGAATCACCTGTTCCACTATCTTTGCATGATGAGTGCTCCGATATATTGTCTGGGAACATTTGAGGCGATTCACTATCACTATGCACTACTTGAGTCATTTTTATACTTTCGGCGGGAAATGAACGCACAGTACTGGCCATGCGTCTTCTTGTGTGGTATATTATAACCACCCAAATAATAGATGTACCAACTGCACAGCAAACAACTGTTATAATAATAATACCAGTCATATCTTCTTCATTTACCATGATGGCCACTGGAGGCAATACTCTCAATTCTGTCATGTCTTTCTTAGTTCCCAACTCATTAGTGATTTCACATTCATATCGTCCTGCATCACTTGATTCTGCACCTATGATAATCAACAGCTGATCATCTGCTGTCAGATAATGGCGGTCTGTGGGAGTTATTGGAGTCCCATCTTTTAACCACTTCAATACTGGTTTTGGTGACCCAGATATCATACATTGTAATACTACAGAATCCCCACTTGTTACTTCTTTATTCTCCATGACTCTTACAAAAGATGGTTCTTGCAATACTGATAATGTAGCATTAGCTATTATGGTACCAGCAGGATTTTTAGCTGCACAACTATAAATACCCATATCTGAGGTTTTTGCATTTACAATAAAGAATAGGTGGTCAGTTGGCATCACATTCATGCGTCTCTCTCTTGCTGCAGGGAAATCATTCCCACCATCTTTTTTCCAAGATATTTCGGGAGTCGGATCCCCTGTAGCAGCACAGTTTAATGTTACAGTCTCTCCAGTTTTTACTGTTACATTAGTAGGTGTCTTTAAGAATCGAGGAAAAGTAACTATGTTCACTTTCGCTTTTGAAGAGTATGTAGTACCAAAATTGTTGCTCACAATGCATTGATATTTGCCAGAATCCGCATGAGTTACATTTGGTATAATAAGTACAGATGTGGCACGTGGCTGACCACTCATAGCCATTGTAATATTTTCATACACTGTAGGATTGCTAATATTTCCATTGTTCTTTTTCCATAAAAATGTCATGTTATTAAATGGATTCGATGTTGCAGAACACACTAAATTGGCTGAATGACCTTTAATGGCAAGATGTGTTTTAGGATGTTCCACTACTCTTGGCTTTGGAGAATCACCACAACTATCTTCTTTCAGTTTGGATATTGATACCCCTCTTTCCTCAGAAGGATAGGCACAGGTTGCAGTAATATATTTCTGTTCAACCTTCTCTCTTATCCATTTCACCAACCACAATATGTTGCAATCACATAATAATAACGAACTATTTAAATGAAACTTTTTGAGTTTTGGCATTGAATCAAATGCATGCTGCTGAATAGATGTTATATTATTCCATCTCAAATCTAATTCTACCAGGTTTGTTAACCCCTCAAATGCTCGTGAGTTAATAGATTTTATATGATTAGCAGCCAAACTGAAAATAACTAAATTATGTAACTTAGAAAATGGTCCTGCCATGTCTTCAACTGTCCAGGAAATTTTATTGTTATTTAAATAAAGTCTTTGTAAAAGAAACATATGACTAAAAGCTTCTTGAAGAATTGAAGAGATATTATTGTAACTCAAATTGAGGATTTGAAGATTATCCAAATGCTGAAAAGTGCAACCTTCTATTTCAAGTAAGTAATTGTGAGACAAATCGAGGTCCTTTAAATTTGTACATAATTCCCAACTTCCTAAGTCAATAACAGATATTATGTTATTTGATAATGATAATGTAACTAATGACTCTAAACCATACATCCATCCTTTAGAAATACTTTTTATTTTATTGTGATCTAACTGTAGTTGATTCACAGACATAAATCCAAAGAAGGCTCCATCCATTATATTATCAATATTATTAAACTTCAGCTTAAGAGTTGTTAAATTTGATAATCCTTGAAATAGTAAGCCCGTAATTGTATGCAGTTTGTTGTGATTGAGCTCTAATGTCTTTAGATTTGACTGATACATAAAGAGGTGATTAGGAAGTGATTTTATTTCATTTCTATTCAATTTTAATGTAACAAGGTTTGTCAGATTGTCTAAAGCTCCTTCTTCTATAATTTTAATATGATTACTGTTTAAATTCAATGTTCTTAGAGAACAATTAGCTGGAAAGTGGCCTCTGTCTATGGATCCAATATTATTTCTATTTAAACTTATTTCTTGTATTTGATCATGTTGGAGAATACTAGGTATATGTTGTAATGAGTTTTTATCAAGTTTCAATACTTTCATATCTAACAATTTTTTGAATTCTCCAGTTACATTTTCATTCAATCTATTGTAGCTGAGATCCAATTGTTCCACCCACTTAGGAATTTTTGGCACAGAAGCGAAATTCTTTTTAGAACAATCCACATATTGCTCTAGGCAATCACATTTTTGTGGGCACGCATAAGTTTCAGCATCTACAGAATGTTGAATTATTGAGATAATAGTTATAAACAACAACAAATGCGAGTCTCCCATTATCATACTCATTAGTTGCAAGATTCATTGAAGAAATCATAGATTTGCGTCTTTGTTCTTACATAATTCCAAATGATAACGAAATACATAGAGAGTTCATGTAAATTTTCACTTCACTTATCCTCACTTTATATTTACTAAGCATTTTATTAACAAAAACGATGTTACAATTGAAAAACAACTCAACATATTTACAGTAGCGATAGGATAAGCCGCCATTTTATTTCATAGCGGTGATTTGGTGTTGCCGTTTTAAAGTAAAAAAAATTTAACTTATTATTTTTGTATCCATCCTGTGCGGAGTATTTACAACTACTATTATTATGCATTAATTGAATTGGATTTTGTATTTTTTTATAGGAAACTAGCTGTAGCAGTAACTCCGTTTGCGTATTTTTTTTTATACAACTTAGAATGGCAAACGAGCTGAGGGCCCACCTGATGGAAAGTGGTAACCGTCGCCTATAGACATGAGCAGTATCATGGACATAACAGAGTATACTGTTTCGCCCATGATACCCACCATGCGTTGCCATTCCTGAGGACTCAGGTGTTATTCCTCTGTACCCAGTAAATTCATGCCATATCCCACCCTTCAAACCGAAACACAGCCATGCAAACACAACTGCTTCAAGGTTGAAACAGGAATGGGACAGAGGTACCCAAGCAATCGACTTCTGTACAAAGTCTCCCTCTGGTGAACTACCTATTAAAGACTTACGCTCGTTTTCCACATATTTATTTTTCTTATCATCGCTTGGTAAGTAAAAACAATACTTTAACTAAGTATATGACGATATACTTATTCTAAATGTTTTTTTTTTAAACGAAAATGGAAGAATAGCTACTTCACTTGCACTATTGTTATACCTGTGCTGGCAGTATAGCAATGAATTTATAAAAAAATAAGGACGATTGTAGGGAGAACCTTAAATTATAAAGTATATAGATTGGCAATGTACGAGAGAGAAAATATTTTAACCTGTATGTTAGAGCGTGATAGACAATAGGATAATAATATGCACAATATAAGCATGAAGCTGTTTTGGCGGGAGTATGAAGAAAATAATTTCTAATTATTTTTACGCATTGAAGTCGAATTAGTTTTAAGTGAATATAGTTAGTTAGAATAAAGTGTGCTTTACCTAAATGTAATATAAATTTGTAAATATCTATAAATTTTAACTCCAATTCCTTAGAGATTGCCAAGAAGTGTCAATAACTTCTAATCGATTTACAAATGAGAAAGGCAACAGGCCGTTACGTATGCAGCTATAATATTTATATATAAATTTATTATATAAATAAGAAATAATAAAAAATAAAATTTGAAAAAAAATAAATAAAAAGTAAGTAATAGATAGCGATAGCGCAGGCGGGGTTACCAATCATTGTCCCCTCTTATAAAACCATGAAGATAAAATGATACATCTAAGGGGATGATACATCTTATTCATCATCTTACAGTAAGAGGTAGTGGATAGAGAAGGGAAGTGGTGATAATTAATTGACAAATTAAATAGAAATTTTTATTCAAATTTTCCTTAATATAACAAAACTATATTGGTACTTATTATTACAACGTGGAAAGTAAATATTTTGTATATTTTATTTTGCAGTTTATATATTTTACATAAATTACAGAAATAGAAAATGCCATTGCAAATATATTGTTATTAGAGAAATATCTTACGCATGGTTTCAACTTATGCTTTGTTTGCTTCATTATTATATATCTGTGATTCCAGAGATCAATATAATCTAAATTTCTAATAGATATCAATCAAAATATTATCTCGGTGGTCTATAAAATAGCAATTTTGCTAAACAATTAAATTGTAAAAAATAAAAATATTTTAGTCCATAATAATTTTAGTTCCTTAATTGCACTGTAGAAGCAGCACTAACTAGTAATACACTTATTTTTAATTTTAAGGCTTTTGATAATGAAAAACGATCAAACAAAAGACTGACAGCAATTTTCATTTATCCCGAATTGTGAGAAATCAATAAGTAATGAAATTTAGTATTACTGGTTTTAAGCATATTACTATACCCGGCGTAATATGCTTGTTGACTCGGCGAATTTCGTTCCGCCTAACAGTCGAATCTGGGGGGAATAGGATTGTTAGTAATGGAGACTGAGAATCTCATTGCTAGCAATATACACAACCAGATCGACCTCGTCATGGTTCCCCCTGGAAACTATCATGATTAATTCCTGACGAATTCATCATGGTAGGCTAACTGACCTGATTTCTCATCTATTATCCCTCACTGGTGTCCCGCCAGCAAATGCCTTAGCGTAGGCTGCGTTACCATTCCATTATCATTAAAAAAAAAACAGTCGATTCTATATTTTTTTAGTTTTTTCTTTTATCATGATACCAACTTAATTTCATTTTATTTTTACTTATTCCAAATGAAGTTATATTTTTATTGACAATAGCTGTACCCGTGACTTCGTCCGTGTGGAATGCGCGTGAGCTACCCACGGTACTGGTCAGTATTTGGACATTGCAACATTACTTTATTTTTCTATAATAAAAGAATTATTCTAAAATAAACGGCTAGGTTTATTTAAAAAAAAATATATAAATTACCCTTATTACATCAGCAACCTGCCAATAAAAGTTCCGTAAAATCGGTCCAGCCATTTAAAAAAATTTAAATGTTATTTTGGTATATGTATCCTATATATATGCATATACATGTAGTAAAAAACGGTTATTTCAATATTACAAACAGACACTCCAATTTTATTTATATGTATAGATGTCAAATTGCCAATTGTAAAAAGGGACTAAAAGATAATTTGAAATAATTAATCTTTACTATCTTGACGACCATGCTGGTAGATATCACCTTACCTTCCAACATATTACAGATTCAATTCCTGCACAATACAAACATCTGTATACTATTTGTGAGGATGACTGCTAGTTGTTTTGCTATGTATAATTAGTATGTATCAACAAAAAGTAGGTATAATTCCTATCAGTTGTCTAATATCTACCTATAGCACAAGCTCTGCTTAGTTTTTCTTATTATTATTTGGTATTTATTTATTATAATTATTATTGCTGCTAATATAACAAATATTAAAATAAGCACTAAAGTGTCAATAAGTCTCACTGGTAGCTCATCATCCCAAAATTTGATACATAGGTAATATTTGGAATAGGGAATATAAGTTACATTTTACAACAGCCAATAAATATCTTAGTCACAAGGTCTAAATAGTGGGTAAAAACTAGTGTCCGACCGAAACACGTTTTACAGCCGAAACCGAACTTCCGGCCTTGGTCTCAGTTTTGGCCATAACCAAAACCAAAACTTACTGAAACATATTTAGTTTCTCTTCTATACTGAAATCTAGTGTATTTTTTACACAATTATTTACACAAACACACAGATAGTTGAAGGGTAATAATAAACATTAATTAATGTATGTAACGAATATGTCATATATATTTATATGTAAAAACATGTTAAAATTATGACTTACTCTTGAAAGTAAACTTAAAAAAAAACAACTTTCAGTTTGACATACACACACAAAGTTTCGGTGCGACCGAAAGTTTCGGGCAATTTTTGGCCGAAACCGAAACTAAGGCAGAAAGTTCTGGCTGAAATCAAAAGTTTAGTCGAACACTAGTAAAAAGCAGAAAACATATCATATACATAAATCTACCACTAAAAACTTTATACCGATATCCATATTTTATTTTAGAATTGTTCTAAACAGTTTTTTGCCATCATAATCCCAATATCCAGACAATCAACCACAATCATTGAAACATTGCCATATTTTGCCAAGCTACAGTAAGAATACTTAATCAATTCATAAGGTGTTAATGATAATAATTAGTAAATGGTATTTTAACAAGTTGTGTTGTAACAACAGGTGTGGACCATTTTTAACCTTAGACTATTAACAGAACAACAAAGTAACTGATGATGAAATATTGTGTAAGCTTTTTCTTGAAAGGCAACTTCATCAAAAATTACAAAAGTAAACTTAAAAAAAGAAACAAAGTTAATATGATTAAGTGAAGTCTAAGGTAGAAATGTCATTAACTATATTACTTACATTGTATGCCATTGTAGTCTTGAGCTTATCTGTAAAATTGTATATAAGATCATTAAATTATACATTTCTAAGAGTCATTCAATGAGGCAATATCAATTACAGGCTAAAAGGGTTTAAGTTCCCATCCCATTATTTTTTTGTGTCCTTCCCAGGATTTGATTCCCAAAGTTTTACAAAGGTATCGTCACCTCTATCGCAAATTTATGAATCTGCAGTTTTTTCAAATTTGACATTTCTTTAAAAATCTACATTTTGCTTCATACTACTTATTGTGACTTATTTTCAAATTTCTATCTCTAACAGTTAAAGAAATTGAGTAGCCTGAATCTCCATATTTTTGTAATATACCAAAGTAAACATACTTAGCATATTTTTATTGTATTTTCTATAATAAACACTTTAATTTGAAAATTTCAATAATTATTTTATCAATTTTTCAATCCTAATTTAGTTATTTTACATGAATGATTGCTATAACATTGTTGTTTAAACTGAAGTTCTCTTCAAAACATGTGATTTATACCTTAGTATATTTACAAAAGTGGCACTTTCGTTAGTTTGTCAGATATTAAAATAAATTCTTTTCTTTGGCAACTTATGAAACTGCCACTTTCTTAGATTTGCTGTTGTATAACTCAATACCTAGGAATTCTCATGTATGAAAGTGCAAAGTAACCAATCTGCATTTATTTCTGATACTTGTAATATAATAATAATTAATTAAGCGCATTCAATAAAAAACAGGATTTTAAAACTAAAATGTTAGCATGATATTTTATAGTAGTCTTCTATCAAAAGTTATTTGCATTCTAATGTTTCAAAATGTTCCCCTGTAAAATGTATCTTTTTCAGTTTCGTAAGTTTACCATAGAGGTGATGATATGTCTGAGCATATATATATATATATATATATATATATATATATATATATATATACATTTTTATGGGGTGAAGCCCATTCTGGAAAATTAATGTTAAGACACCAATGACAACAATCATCTATTAATATTGTAAAATTGTAATATTATAAATCATAAAATTTGCAAAGATATTTGGATTTTTATATGTTTGTGTGTAAACAATCACAAGCACAATTTGAATGAAATTTGGTACATAGATACGATATGTCCCAATTTAACATATAGGTTATGTACTATATATATTAATTTACACGGATAAGGCTGTTATAAACTGCTAGTGGGTTTTTTACTACAGTTCTTTTTTTACATTTAAATTTAATAAACTTAGTAATACCATCATATTTACAGTTGTTGTAATTTTTTATTTAATCCATAATTATAAAATTAATTAATATAAGTACGTCAGTAGAGAAAGTAAATTTTTTTTAGATTTTCGCGGTAAGAACACTAGTTACGTATAATTAGAAAGTATAAGTGCCTATGAAATTTATAAATAGTGTATCAGTTTTTATTATCAATACGTAGGTACACTGTATTTACTCACAAATTACGTGATGTCAACTAGTTGTTCTACTTTGTAAATTGAATTAATTATAGAGTTAATTAAAAACAATTATTTTTAAGCTTAATTATTTTATTTTGGTATGTTTACTGTTAATCACTCACACAGATTAGAAAGACTATGTCACAGATTAAAGAGACAATGTGTGTTTTTTTGTTTACGGCTTTGGATATCTCTTTAAAGTCCATCTTTAATTTATGTTACTGTCATTCCAAGATAATGTATCTGAGCTATCGACAATTATCGCTCGAACTGTCGATAATAGTGTTGTACTACTATCTATATAGTGTTGTATAGCTTTTGTTCTAGATTTGGAATTAATATAACAAATTATACTATATTATATTTATAAATATAGTATAATAAATTTATATTTAAACATTTATAACGATAAAAACAATGGAAAATACACATTTGATAAGTTGATGATTAAATTGTCATTTCATAGCAGGCTACTGTTTAGAAAATGTTATACGGCCGTATAACCTTATCAAATTCAGATACAACCTACTTGCATACTTTCTACATAAACTGTGTCAAATATATAATCTAGTAATGTAAAATTTGTCATTGACGTATCAAACATTTTTTATACACTAGCCTGCTATGAATTGAGAAAAATGACATTTGATGGTGTATCTTTCGTCCTCTTTTTACTAATTATATTTGCATCAGAAGAAAGGAGGCAATCATATGATTTACAGTTTTTATTTTTTCATTCCTTCTATCTAATTCCTTGTTCTTAAATAATCTAGTAATGTAAAATTTGTCATTGACATATCAAACATTTTCTATACACTACCCTGCTATGAATTGTGAAAAGTAGCAACTGATGGTGTATCTTTCATCCTCTTTTTACTAATTATATTTGCATAAGAAGAAAGGAGGCAATCATATGATTTATAGTTTTTATTTTTTCATTCCTTAATTCCTTGTTCTTATAATCCCATATTCAGTGTTTCCCAGATTGTGGCAATTAAAAAATGGACTTGAAGCAATTTTAACCCTCTTGCTCCGAGCCATTAAAATGCTACGAGTAGACATCGGTGCCATATATAATAAAAAAAAAATAAATTAAAAAAAAACTGTAAATATTTATTAGGTATAATTCTGTTTGACGTTATTAAATATCAACTGGGCAATTAAAATCGTCAAGTAAACTTTGTCGGGAAATATTATGTATGAGGGCATAAAAATTTTAGAAATGTTCAAGTGGGGCATTTCTCAAAAAAGGTTGGGAAACACTGCCACAATTCATTCTTTGTCCCAAAGATATTGTTTTATTAAAAGCATCTATTTCTTTGGTACCTGTACTATTGTGCATCTTTATGTTAGTGATGCGATTATATCCGAACGTATAAATTTCGTAATCAATTTAATTGAATTCATTTAAATTCATCTGATTTATCTAAAAACACAAAGTCTAATAATTCGATTTCTCAAAAACTTTGTTTTCTGAGTTCGTATTTTTTGTAATCATATGTATCATATCAGCCATTAACTGATGAATATAGGCATATAAATTTAATTCCAATTATAGAAAACAAAACGGGCACTTAATTTAAGTTTATTTTTTATAACTTTTTTAAATAAAAGAATTTATTTTACAAACTTTTAGTTACTAAATATGTGTTTGAGTATTTATTAAACAATTTTATGGTTCTTATTAACACAGAAAAAATCAACCTTAATTTTTTTAGGATGAAATATCGATATGTTGTATTGCAGTACTATATATATAAAATAATCGAAATTTTTAAATAATTTCATTCGATTGTTAATCGGTTTTAGATACACGCCTAGCGTCTACGTACCTACCTTTTTATTTAATATGACTGTGTTGGTGTGATTCTGATTGATCAGCTGTATATTTGATCCTCTTCTGTACCTAGTTAATACTTTCTTTTCTTTTCTTGTACCTACATTAGTAGGTAGTTATCCGCCTAAGTTAGGTATTGTATTATTATGGTAGTGTGTCTACTGTGAATAATAATAAAATTCATTTTTCTGTATTCAATATTTAGTTGACGTTTCATTTTTTGTCTTACTCATTACATGGGAGTTTGATTTTAATAAATAACAATGGAAACATATGAAAGTGTTTTACTTGTTAAGAATGAAGTGTTTGTGTTCAAAATACCGCCCAGGACCTCCAATAGAGGGTACAGGTAAGTTGTTAAAATTGTGAACAATATTTATTTTGATATTATAATTAAAATGTTAACAGTATTAAATAAGTAGGCGTTTTCAGGGCTGCAGATTGGAATTTACAGGAGCCCCAGTGGACGGGTCGTATGAGGCTTGTGGCTAAGGGAGAAGAATTAATAATGAAGTTAGAAGACAAAACATCAGGAGAGTTGTTTGCTAAATGTCCTATAGATAAATATCCTGGAGTGGCCCTGGAAGCTGTGACGGATAGCTCACGTTATTTTGTGGTCAGAATTCAAGATGATAATGGTGTGTATATGTAATATTATGTTTTATTAAAAATTTTGTCTCTTTAGCCGAACCCTTAAGGTTGAAATAGAATATTTCTTCTAAGTATGAATATTGATATTTAGGTCTCAAACTTGAGTATATTCTTCTATATTGTGATTGAACTTATTGTTCTCTTTGTTTATTTAAAAAAATGAACTTATAAATTTCTATAATTAACTAGTGTTGTAATTTTATATTTTTTTAACATAGGTAGCATATACATTCATTCATACAAATTATGAATGAAGAATAATTTCAAATAATTATTTAACTCATTACCCATTGAGTATTTAAGATTATTTTTCTGGAGGGTCTAGTAACTTAAAAAAGATGCATATTCACACTCAGATATATCATTGCACATAGCTGAAAATTTGGCTCACATCATGAGGTAGGCATCAAGGTTGTTACTCTGGGATGAGCATGGCCCCTATCACTTGTCCCTTGCTCTGAATATGCTTATGTTTTAACTTCAAGCGATTGTATACTTTGTAATATAATTGTTAAAGTATCAGTATGACAAAATGAAGGAATTACAGTATTGTTAAGATTTTATGAAATTATTTTATCAAGTATTTTTTTATATTTTAGGAAGAAGTGCTTATATAGGGTTAGGATTTGGGGACAGATCAGACTCATTTGATCTTAATGTTGCTCTACAAGACCACTTCAAATGGCTGCGGAAAGAGCAAGAAGGCGAGCAGACACCTCAGCAACAGCTTGATCTTGGTTTTAAAGAAGGTGAAACAATAAAGATAAATATGAAAATAACGGTAAGTAAATTATATCTACAAAAATATAATTAAAAGAGTACAAAAAAGAAAATTTTCATGTCCTATATCTAATATAACAAAGTGGGCTATAAAATTGGCTCTGTGGGGTCTATAATATAAAATCATTAAGCCTGAACCTTAAAATTTCATGTTTAGATAATGTAATAACTAATGTTTTTGTTTCAAAGGGCAATTGATATCCAGATCCAAAAAAATCTTGACACTATATGATGTCATGTTTACTGTTCTAGTAAAAAAAAATATTATAAATTAGCTAATTTTTTACAGAAGAAGGATGGAAGTGAGGGCAGCAAGCCACGACGTGGTGGAGGAGTTGGCGGGGGAGGTGGACTGTTGCCACCACCACCAGGAGGATCCCGGCTTCCCCCACCTCCATCGCCTCAGCATGCCCCATCACCCTCTGCTATAGTTCCTGGATCAGCTAATTCAGATTGGGGTGATTTTAATTCTGCAAGGTGAGGAGTGAATTCTATAAGCTTAAAAAAATGGAATGGCTAAAATACAGGGGCACATTTTTTATTTTAATTAGAATGGCAAACAAATTGAGAGCCCAATTGATGGAAAGTGGTGGTAATTATCATTCATATACTGTGCCTTACTGTGACATCCATGATAACCTACCTCACTGCTACTCTTGAATTACGGAAACTAAGATGTCATATCTCTATATTCAGTAATTTTGTGAAATTATTGCCTATTATGAAGAGTGAAATATGGCAATGATCATATTTCAATCTCAATACTAATTTCATCTATACCCAGTCATATAGTTACATAGAAATGCAGGCATGCATGTACAGCTGCTTGTCAGCAAAATTAATACAAGTGCTATAAAATATAAAATTTACTGATTTATTACATAGAACACACTGTCAGCAAATACAAAAACCTGTTATTTCTGCCTATTCATATTTAATAATAGCGACCTTGAGCGTTGCTAAACATCTAACAACTGTGGTAAATAGACTGATAAATACCTAACACATTATTCATTTTTTATTCATCACTAATGTATATTACAGTTTATTACTTGATGGAACATGTGACTTTGCTCACGTAAATTAGGCTAGAAAGGGTGGTAGTAGTAACTTACTCAAATCTGTCCAATCTATTAAGTATGATTTAGTACATCCAAATGTTGTTACAAATTTTCACATTTATAATTTATATATATATATATATATATATATATATATATATATATATATATATATATATATATATATATATGTAAGTTTCGTGTCTGTGTTATAAGCTATTTATATTTTTAATAAATAAATGGAGAATATGTAATAAAATTCAGTACAATATTTAAAAATCGAGTTTTTCTGTTTGTAATTTTGTATGTTTATTGCAATAAAAACTTGAAATGGTTTAATTAGCACTTCCCAATATGTTTATGGTTACCATAACCATGGTTAATGCATGTTTGAAATATTTTAAGTGTCACATGTATATTGTTAATTGGAAGAAACCTTAATATGTCCTTTTAAAGAACTCCATATTGTGGCCTATAAGAAAAACCTCGGCCAAAAGCTCACTCTGCAATCAAAAGATTTTCATTATATTCTTTAAGATGTATTAATACTTAAATAAAAATATAATTTTCAGTACCCCAAATCAACAGCAGCAACAGCAGCCCATCACGCCAGCTAATCAACAAAATTGGGTGCAGTTCTGAAAATTGTATAGCAGCTTTGTAATTGTGATTTGGTTTCTAAAATCAGTTGAGTGTCAGTGTGTGCACATTACTTATACAGATACACTTGTTGTTATGAGTAGGAATCAGCAGCTTGCATTCACTATCGCTAAATATGTGATGGTATGATTAATTTTTGTTCATTGTGTGAGGTTAGTATGTACTAATCAGAGATTCTCAAAGTGTGTGCCCTGTGGTACTGGTACAATAAAGATGGCCACTTTAAGGTTATCAGTTAAATTTTATTAATTCTAAACAGATTTGGTTAATTCTTCTTGCAGTCATCTACTGGCATGATAATGATATGCTGATTTACTTCTTCTTGGTTTCATATGAATTGTGTTGATTGATGTTAATTTTTTTTGTAGTTCAAAATTGTATGTACACATATTATAGAGGTTAATGTCTAAGTGCAATGCGAATTGAAACACTTTGGGAACCCCTGGTAAAGTGTTAAATTGTAGATACCAGATCACAATCACTTTAAAAATTATGCAATAATATTTATCATCGATGTAACATTTATTGTCTGTATATGTTGTAATACTTATATAATAATTCTATATTATATTTAGACAATAGTTAAACTAGACTATTTTTGGGCTCTACTATATTGTTGTTAGAATTATTAGTATTGTTAAAGGCATGTCATAGTTTCTATGTAAATAGTTACTAATATATAAAAATAAATGTTTAATAGTTCAGATGTGTACAAATACCATTTTGATTTTGATCATTATAGATCTGTTTTTACATTCGAGAGTGATGTACAAATTAATGAATTCTTGTTATTATAAAGCTCAATAATATTTTCATTTTACATGTTATATTTAATGATTTTTGTTCAACTTTGTTGAATTATTTTAAGCTAAGTGTCGTTTTTTGTTTTATATAAACAGAGGCGATTCGTACTTATTTTTTTAATATACAAATAACGGTATTCTTTAGTATTTTTAAATTGTTTCATTATTGTTTATATTTATTTAGAAACTTTATGTTATTATTATTATTTTAAGTATGACAGATAAGCAACACTTAATATGTAAGTGAAAAAATAATAATTTTAATTATTATCGTTAAATTAGTTAATTTGTTTTTCCTTTTCTAATATTTTTTTTAGTTTATGGATGCCTGCAATACCAGTACATTGATTCTTTTAAAAACAATTCTGCAGTGATATATCATTAAAGTTTAAAAAGTCATTCATATAGAAGTTTCATCCAACATATTCGCATATTATCTGTCAATTGATTTGTTGAGTTACAAGAAACATATGATGTTTCCAGTTACTTCTTTGTTTCTATGTTATTTTTCACTACAATAATTATAACATTGACAGTAAAAACTAAATCAATGTTATAATCCTAGTGCTTACATATAAAATTATATTAATGGTATTTAATCCGATTCCAAATATTTTTGAGCCGTTTCTAATATCTTTGGCAGGCTACTACTAAGAACGTCAATGATGCTTATTTTATTATCTAATATCGTTTGTCCAGTTATATATAAATCTTGTCACGATATGCGTTCACGCCAATTTCTTAAATCGGCCAACCGATTTTACAGAAATTTTGTAAATGTGAAGGTATGTGATTTGTTCCATCTTGACAAATAGGATAGTTTTTATTCCGGTAATAAAATCTAGACACAGTAGGTGATGATAGGGGCAAAATAAAATTTGTCGGATTAGTCAGTGTAACAATAAAAAATAAATGTTACTGTACGTATAATGCTGCGGTACAAATTAAACTGAGTAGTAGAAAAAAATAATCTTCAATCAAATAGACTTGTTTAAAATCTCTTTCAAATTGTCAATTTTTTATGATTCTGCTACTGGGTTCGAAATGTTTTTATCTGCTGAGAAGAACCCGCAAAAAAACTCAATAGTTGCTCTTTTAAATTTTTTAAATTTTATTTATTACAAGATTATTTTACATTTGTACGAGTACTGTGAGTATAATTAGCATTGAGTTATATATATTATTCAATATGAAAGAAACAAGTTAACATAGCAGACCAGTCCTTACAAGCAGCATTTGTTAACAAGTACTCTAACTACCAGAGGGAGATTTTGTACAAAAGTCTTTTGCTTAGGCATCTCTGTCTCATTCGTGTTTCTACCGCAAGCAGTAGTGTTTGCATGTCTGTGTTTTGGTTCTTTGTTTTTTGATAGGTGAAAATGGTATGGTAACTCCGCCTGCGCTAACGGAATACGCTGGCGGAGCACCAGTGAAGGGTGATAGATGAGAATGAAAACAGGCCAGTTAGTCCATCATGATGAATTCATCAGAAATTAACCATGATAGTTTCCAGGGAGAACCGCGAGGAGGTCGACCTGGTTGGGGTATATTGCTAGTAATGGGATTCTCAGTCTCCATTACCAACAATCCCTTTCCCCGCTGTGTTTTGGTTTAAAGGGCATATGGAAGTGAATTTACAGGGTACAGAGGAATAACACCGAGTCCTTAGGAATCCCAACGCATGCCATGGGAGGGGTGAGGGGTATCATGGGCGAAACAGTATAATACTCTGTTATGTCCATGGTCTGTTCATGCCTATAGGCGACGGTTACCACTTTCCATTAGCTTGTTTGCCATTCTAAGTTGTATAAAAAAATTTAACTGTTTTGTAAAACTGAAAAACAGTTGTGCTAAAATAGTTGTTTGGCAGTCACTATAGCCTATGGATACCTGGGGTGTCACATAAGTAAATAAATCGGCGGTTCCATTTCTGATACCACAGATATTATAATACTTTCTTATTTTACGTAAGTGCAGAAAGTGTTTGTAACTAGTTACAAACACGCAGAAAACTTCACTTGAACCTTTTGATAATTTATAATCGTCACATTAATTTTATATTCATATACATATGTCTGTATCTACTTAATATAAAAAGAAATGGACTCACGATTATACGACAAACATAACAGAAAGCTTTTTTTTGTGGGTCACAACAACTCGTGGCGAGTCTTAGTCTGCGCCCACTTTCGAAGCGATATGTGAGCCTATGAGCACTGCAGAGGGCCTACCATGAAATATTTTCCGAAATTTTGGGGACGAACGAAATAAAAATTTGATGTTAAAATTACATAATACATGTCGTTTAAAATTATTAAAAATATTAAAATATCGTTCCTCTGGACTATTAGGATAGGATTTATGATGAATGAAACGTTAAGATCCATTTACTGGGTCGATTTAGGTATGAACAAAAACGAAATTGAGCCCTAAAAATTCGGAATTTCATTTCATGGTAGGCCCCTAGGTTATTTGGCTAATTGTAACACGTATGCACTGGCGGGGCACCAGTAAGAGATGATAGGTGAAACGATATTTTTTTTTAATGGATGATAATGGACTGGTAACCTCGTCTGTGCTAACGGTATACGCTGGTAGGGCACTAGTGATGGATGATAGGTGAGAATTAAAAAACAGGTCTTTTAATGTGTGTAAATGGCATGGTAGCCCCACCTACGCTGTCGGTATACATTGGCGGAGTACCAGTAAGAGGTGATAGGTGAGGATGAAAAGGTACTTCAGTTAGCCCATCGCCCATGACGATCTCAACGATACGTTAGTCATGATAGTTTCCAGGAGGAACCGCGTGGAGGTCGACCTGACCGGGTATATTGCTAGCAATGGGATTGGTAGTTCGCATTACTAACAATCACTATATATATATATATATATATATATATATATATATATATATATATATATATATACATATATCTCTATAAAGGTTAAAGGTCAATTGGTACTGAAATGTCGATGACCTTATGTCTCTATATTTCTTAAACTCAGTACTTTTACAGATATCGGAATTTCACTTAGTTGCCCCAGACAAACGCAACTATAATATGTATTAAATAAAGCACGATATATTTCCACTGTACAAATTGTAATTGATCCCATATGGCGCTACAATATTTAACTATAATTTTTTTTATTAGAGAATTCTACAATATATGTAATGTTGCATGAATATGTAAATTATAAGAGCTTGAGTTTGTATGTGGTGAATGTTTGACGTTATTCAAAATAAGCAAGTAAGCAATAATTATATAATTATTTACATGATATGGGCACCTACAGTCATGAAACGAAAAGTTTTTTTAAATATATTTTCTTTATTTGATCTTTTAACGTTGTTATGAACACACTCAGCTTACCTTCGCCGAATATAAATATACCGGCGGTTATTTTGTTGTGGGTAATAAATGCTTTATTGACAATGGCCGATTGGGTAAGTACGTGATACAATAAAGCAAACGATACGAATGACATCTACCTATATGTATATATGTGGGTCAATTTATCCGGTTTTTAACAGAACAATCATTACGATTGGATTTTGTGGAAATATTGGGAAGATTACACATCAATCAAGTGGGGGATTTTATTAAAAGTCTATACTAATATAACAATGGAATAGCATTATTGATTGGTTGCTTAGTAGGTAGGTATATTGTTTTGTTCTCTAAAAGAAGTATCTAACCCTAGCTACTTTAGAGAGCGCTATTATTAAACCCACGAGAACGACTTAAAACTAGTATACTTATATTTATCTACTTTATCGATTTTTCCTTTTCGCTATAGTGTTCGAGAGATGGACGAGGTTTTTTATTTGGATCGGAAAATAAGCCGTCGACTCATCTGATGAAAAGTGGTAACCCTTTGTTATAAATGTTTATCACGAAAAGTGGTAATGTTTATGTACTATCAGGTGATGTAAATTCCAACCTACATCACAGGAAGTCAATCCCGGTACGTTTCAAACGCTGCCGCTATTTTCTTTATTTAGGGACTAACTGATTAATCAGATATTATAATTTTGAGTTAGATACGTTTAGACAAATGACCAAAATGAGAAAACAATGTGGTAGCTATAAATAAAATAGAGAAGTAAGTTTGTTTTGTATAAAGTGACTACCTATTTGGATTCATCTACTCATTTGACCCATCTCAAGCCGCAGATTAGTGTTGTTAGGCGTACAATAGTGATATAAGTAAGAGAGCTTTTTACAATATACCACGACATAAGTAACGTAGTAGTATTAATTATATTTATGTATGATTATCCAAATTAATATTATAAAGGGGAAAGATTTTTATTTGTTTAAATAAACTTAAGAAGTACTTAAGCGATTATGAAAATTCTTTTACCAATAAAATAAGGTAGGTAAGTAAGGGCTGTATTTTACTTATAAAACATCGTGCGAAACCGGGTCGCTTGTTGTTGATATGACTAGTTATCGACAGCTATATAAAATTTTATTGAAAGTAATACGACACGTATTACTAGATATTAAAATATGTATATTCACATATTATATCCCGACTCTTGATTAATTACTTCTAACCCGTGATTCTTATTTGGACAAGAAAAACGTTCACCTATTCTTATGTCAATGAACCATCTTTTACAATTGAAGATAACATTTGTTACTTAACTAGTACCTACTTTGTAGTGTATATTGTATGTCAGACTTTAGACACTTAATTGGTTTATAAATATACAGTAAGTAATTCTTGGATTGGAAAAGATATCGTATAAACATCAATGGAAACTACGCAACATTTTTTAATCTAAAATACATGAGGTATTTTAGAAAGGTTCAACGACGAAGGTCTTTAATCAGTGCGTGTTGCCAGGGATGACTTATGAATCCAAACATGGTGGCTCAGTTTCTTTGCGTAACAGAATCCGAAATGAAGTTAGTCGGAAAAGATCTGGGTTGATGATAATGGCGATAGTAATTCACTTAAGAATAGTAGTACCTACTTTCTATAGTCAGGGGAAAAGGGTTTGTTAGTAATGGGGATAAGCAACACTATTACTAACAATATTTATTTATTTATTACATATATCCTATCAGGTCGACTTCCTCGCGGTTCCCCCAGGAAACCATCGTGATTGATTCATAGTTGAATTTATGACGTTGACCTAACTGACCTGGGGGTCTACCACGTAATGAAATTCTGAATTTTCGGACTCAATTTCGTGTTTTTGTTTATACCAAAATCGACCCAGTAAATGGAGCTTAACATTTTGTTTGTCATAAATCTTACCATA